TAAAATTAGTGAAGCTATTGAATATCTTAAACCAGAAAATATTCAAGACTTAAATACTTCTGTACTTATTCCTGAAATTCAAGATAAAGACAAAGAAAAATCTGATGAGGTTATTTCAAAACCTATAAAAAGTAAACATATTATTGAAATTATTCTATTTTATATATAATTTTATATATAGTTTTATTTATAGTTTTATTAATAATAATTTATTTATAGTGTGGTATCCGACAACGGTCCCTACGGGTATTGCTGTACTTCGTTACAATTTAGCTGTAGCCTATGCTATTCGTGGTGAACTTGATAAGTCTGGAGAAACTTTAAAACAAGTAATTAGAATTTATATGTATACATTTTCTGTGTAGATCTATTATATGTAGATATAAATTATTTTGATATATATATTTGTCATTGATTGATAATTTAACAAATGTTTTAGGTTTGGATGTCAAAAGGTCCTGATTGTGATGTTCCTATACATGTAATAATGTTAGCCTTATATATAGAATTACAATTAGGTATAATATAATATAATAATAATATTTTTAATTATAAATAATAATAAAAAAAATTATTAACAATTTTGTTTTTCTATAATAGGTCATGTAGATATTTCAAGGTCAATAATAAAACAACATTGTCCACAATATCGTTGATGGTAAATTTTATAATTGTACAAATTTTTTTTCTATACATGTAAATAAATGTATACCATATAAAAATCATAGATTTTTTAAATACAAATGTAAGTAATTAATATATGTATGATATGTATATATATATATATTAATGATATGTATATGTATGCATGTATATATATATATATACATATTAAATTTTTATAGCCTTTATATATGAAATATTCATTATTTTCATCTTTATAAATTGTACAATAAACTGCTTGAATCGTAAAAAAAAAAGAAAAATAATAATATGCGTATGTTATTAAATTAAGCTTTATCATATTGAAAATGATATGTCTTGTAACAATATATTAAAATGTTTTTATTAATATATTATAATATTATAATATTCTTTTAATATAAAATTTTATATGATTTCATCTTTTAAATCATATCATCGATTATTTTTATTAATATTTATAACTTTTTCGAAATTTATTTGTTATAATGAAATTTATATTTTACACAATTACTTTTATATTATAAATAATAAAATGATAAATTAAATATATATTTAAATATAATGAAGTTTTTGTTACTAATTCTAGTTTTATCACTATAAGTATAAGAAATTGTCATTAATGATTTCATCAATTGTTACTGGAAATATATAGATGGTATCGGGGGCCTTTGGCCTGTAATATGGTCATGGCCGTCTAGGCGAATCACCTCAGGGCCTTATATTGGACCTTATTCTGCCTGACTCACATAGTTCCAGTGGTTCTCCGTTATTACTTATCTTATGTAGTATGTTTTCCCTATTATATATATATATTTATGTTGTATAAATATGAGAACAATTATTTCGCATAAACGAATAATAAATCTCGCCAGGAAAAATTTCATAAAAATTAATTATTTGAAATATATACATATATATATTTTATAAGTAAAAAATATATATTATAAAAATAAAAAATATGTATATATATATATATTATTTATAATAGACATACAATTACGATAAAACATGTTCGATCTTTTGTTAAAGATGGCCCATTGTTTATGAGTAATTACAATTGGACAATGAAAAAAAAAAAAATAAACGATTTATTTTTATTAATTAGATTGGAGAATAACAATCGCATCGAAGATTTATCAAAAAGGAAATTTCAATGCTTCTTCGGTCGAAGAAGGATAACAGAAAACTTGTGGTGGTCGCGGAGGTGCAATACTTGCGTATCACTTCCTCTCGTAAATGTAACGTCAAAATAATTTTTTTGATTCAAATTAAAATTTCAAGCTATGGATTGCACATGTGCATTGGATTTTTTAAAATTCTTCATTTTTTTTTTCTTACGATTATTAAAACATATATATGATAGATATATGATAGATCATCGAAACAAATAATACGATGCAAGATTAATCCGTATTAACCGTATAATTATTATATCGTAATTATATCGTTTCTCATCTTAATTTCGTTTTTATATAAATATAAATATAAAATTAATTACTAAAAATAATGAATCAAATTTTCAGATAAAATTATACAACAATATATTGGAAAAAATGTACTTAAAATCTTAGAAATCTTTTCTTTTGAAAAAAGAATCGAGAAATAATTTGATGGTTGTTTATTTTTCGCGTTACACAAGCAAGGTACCATTTTAATCGGTATGCACAGTCTGGAAATCTGAACTGATCACGCGTGTCCATGGAGTCGAAGCGGACTTGATAAATTTAAAATAAAATTGATCCAACCATTTGGCGCGCTGCCCTGACCCAGTTCGAGTTCTGCTCCCGTCTCCAGTGAACAGAACAAGACGATGAACAACTAAGAATCGCCTCAAGGAATCGCCGCCCTCTGTGTCGGGAAATCGTCGCAAACGTTGGACAACATTGTGTAGTATACCGGATAACCGTGATTTTCTAGATTTTTCTACCTCGATCGATGCTTCTTTGATCGAACAGAAACAAGATGTCAAATTTTGATAAAATAACGCTTGGAAGCATAATTATAATATTTCTTAACCTTTTTTTAATTTAATATTTTAATCGATCGATATACTTGATTAAGGTTATAATTTTATGCGTGACGATGAAGTGCACGTTCTTTGAGAAGTTTAATAATTATCTTTTTACAATAAATAATTAATATATAAATATAGTAGATTCATAGGTGGTTGATTTTTATCGATCAAAAGAAAAAAAAGAAGCCTACAGATCGATTAGAAGATTTAATTTTAATTTAGATCTAAAGTTGAGCGAAATGAAACATTCTTTCGCTAAATTAATATTTAAAATTCAACTATTTCAATATATTATTAAATATGTTTATAAGCGTTATATACGATAATTTGTAATCTTATATGTTTATTAACTTTTCTACAATAACAAGATATTGGAACGGAAAATCGTATTAGATGGATAATGTTAATCGATTTCTCAAGCATGGCAATAAATTACATGAAACGCATCAATAAAAGGAGATGACGATTACGTGAACGAGACGTAATACTGAACTTTTTTCATGAACATTCATTTTACATCGAATATTTTGAAGGATAACGACGAATGAACATGGACGATGATATCCTGTTACATTTATTTCCCTTGCGATCTTTAAAATATATTATCTCTCATAGATCACAAATGAAGATAACACGCGATGAAAGTGTTAAAGTAGCTCAACTAAAAAATGAAGCGCTTCTAAGAAGATGAAAAATCCTATATGCAATATTACTAAATTCTAAGTAGTAATATTACTAAACTCTATCTAATTCTGTATTTTCTTAATCCTCAATTATTCTTGCCTTCTCACTTAATTATAATCAAATTACTTTCGAAGAATTTATGAAAGCTTGTCACGATTTCTTTTTCTTTTTTTTTTTTTTACTTAAATCACACGCTTACTACTACGTCGTTCGAAAATATACAATCATTGATCATTCTTATAAGAGGATGAATGATGACTTTGTTATAGCGAAGTGCGAGGCCACTGTCGTGTTTCCTTTCAAGAATTTAAATCGAGAATTTTGGATCACTTGTTATCTCGGTTATAAAAGAAGGACATACGTAAGAGAGAAAAGAGATCGTCTTAAAAGATCCTTCCTAGAGACCTCGGTAGATCGGCAATTACAAGTGTTCGCGTCCTGGTTTCTCTTCGAATCGACTAAATACAATTAGCCACGTTTTGTGTCGTAATTGTAAGTGACGAAAATTGAAGGATTTAAATCCTTCAAAATAGCATTTTGAAACAATTATTATTTCTTAATCGATGTATTTCATGTGATTGATGATTAAGCGATAGATAACTTTTTCTTTTTTTTTTAAATTTTACTCGACAGTTGTATCATTTAACTCGAATTCGTGTTGATGATAATTTATTTTTAAAAGAAGAAAAACAATGGTTATTATTGTACACGAAGTTAGATTCTACGAGCGATAAATATCTTATTTATTTATTTACACCAACTGTTGTTATTCGTACCATACGTTCTCGTTTCGTGCTTCGAAGGAAATAGAACGCTTTTGGCCGTCTATTTCCAGTTGACGGCTGACGAAATAGCAAGGAAATAAAATCGTTTGTTTTAATTTCGTTACGCAGCATTAGAAAATTAATTATCGAATTTTCCATTTCGAACACATTTGAAATCTATTTAATCCGTTATGTTTATCATTAATGTTTTCTTAGATTTATAAAATACGTATATTTATTTATTTCGTTCGTTATATATATTTGAACGATATAATAAAAAAGAGAAAAAAGAAAAATTATGGAAAGGACTGAATCTACAAGATAAAAAAAGAAGATCGTAATTGTAAATCTATGTTGTACTATTTTTTCATTGTATGTTTATCTCGTTAAAAACGTCCCCGGCGGGCTTCTACATTCTCCTCCTAGTTATATTGCTAGGATTGTCTTTTGAAATATCCCCTCAGGGTTGAATATTTGAATCGCGCATTTGTGATGTTAAATGCAGCCGTTCATATTGCGAATTTGAATGATTTTGATTGTAAAATTCTATTTTTTTTTTTTAAGTGCCTACCCACTAATTTCTCCTTAATTACTAATGATATATCAAACTTTCGTAGTAGTAAGCATATATAATAATTTTTGGATTATTTAAAATGTTAAAATTTTACAATGAAATTTCATTTTTTTTTTTTAACTGTTACATTTATTAATTTCTACGTAATTATTATTAATTTTAGGAATAACAATATATATTTCCATAATATTTTTATAACAGCAAGAAAGCCAGCATGTATAAATTTGAAAATATCATTTGGAAGAATATTTGGATAATTGAGAACAATTGATAGATTGTATAAGTGTTAGAATGAAAAATATAATCAAGTAGAGGAGAATAAGAATATATTTAAGAAGATATATTATCGCCGATAATAAAACGTGAAACACAATTGGGTAATATAATTTTACACGCGTATTTTTCTTATAATTACGCAAAAGAGCGTAATTATCATCAAATATAAACTGGTGAATAACGATTTCAAAGAAATCGTTGCATAAATAAACTACGGTCCTGAAAGGTTTGGACCGACAACTTACGTAATAAAAGAAGCCATACCTAACAGGGTTACACGGAGGGTTACAGCTCTAAATACTTTTACGTAAATCTTAATTCAATTTTTCGAAAAGACAAACGTTTAGATTACGTTTTAATTTAAATATATATAAATGATAATATTTTCTTATTATCATTATTTCTAATTTATAATTGAAATGATCGAAGAAGAATGTTAAACCATTCAGTGAAACATAAGAAAAAAATTATATATACTTGCAACGATCATCCATTTGATCCATAGTTCGAAGAACTATTAATTACATTCCAACATGATTCATCCATTAATCAAAGATACGTATAAATTACAATCGATTTACGCTTTTACTTTCTTAATCCTGTAATAAATACAAATAAGAAAATAAATATTCTTCGATAAAAAAAGAAAGAAAATAAAGATATAAGAAAATCGCGACACTGATGATAAAATTTACACTTTCGTTCAATTAATCCTAGACGTGATCGAGTATCTCGTACGACGAGGTGGTGTCACATACGAAATAGGCGAAGATGCGGAGTGAACCCTTTCGATAACCTCGGCAACGACAACCTGCGTATATCTTTGTCCTTCCTCGGCACAGGTATGGCCATACATGGCACCAGCCGCACTTGACCTATATCTTATTATGCTGGCAGCGTCCGGATGCAATGCGAAACGTTTGTGAATAAGCCCGCCGGGTCTCTTCGAGGTTACCGAGGTTCACCACCACCATAAAGAAGTCCTTCCTTCCTGTAACAGTCGTCTCTCGGCATCCTCCTCCTCGGCTTCCGTGACATACGCGGACAAGGTAGTCCGACAAAGTAGTCGAGTCGCTCTTCTACTTTTATTTTTCTTTTCTCCTTTTCCTTTTTTTCGTAACGAAAATCCTTGCTACTCGTTGTCGATACTTGCTTTCTGGAAAATGAGCAAATACACGGTGAGTGAGACAGAAAGAAAAAAAAAAAAATATAATTTCAATTCTCCTACGATCGGACGATTTCCCGCCTCCCCCCCCCTTTTTCTCTTTCTCCCTCTCTTTTTAATTTAGGATCGTTATATATTTACAAATGCACGTTGTGAATATAATCTTGGATAAGTAATTCTTACGTATTACATTATGTATCAAGTATTGTACGCCTTGAATAAAAGATAATAACTTTTTTTTCCCTTCAAATACATTCCTCGTTTCTTTTCTATGCGAAACATTGCAACCTTGAATGAAGATATATATATATATATTATTTTTTTCTCCGGGAATAGTGTAAAATCCTAATTTAAATGCGAAGTAAACATCCGCGTGAAAGAATAAAAAAAAGAAAAAACTATCGTCGATCAATATCATCGATGATTGTTTTTCAAAATTGACTATCGCAGAAAAGGAGGAAAAGATTAAATCGCAGATATTAAATTTGTCCAACCCCCTTTCTCGAATTTTCCTCGGCTAACGATTACCATCTTTTCCCCCCGATACCTCATTCTTGACCGGTATTTAGGAAGGTCACGACCTCAGGGTAGGTTTGTCACGAGAGAACAAACCTTTATTCACGCATGCGCGGGCGAAAGTATTTAAAGAGGTGGACGCGCCTTCGGGAAGGCCACTCTTCCCCGAACTGTCACGAATCGCGCAAGTCCCCCACTTTCCTCCCCCTCCGAGGCAAACTAGCACGCGTTCCCAACGAGAGCGGGGGAAAAAAAAAATCACCTCTTTCGGCTCTTATTTTTTTTTTTTTTTCTCTCCTTTTCCCCCTCTTTCTCCCCCTTTTTTCGTCCCTTTAACGCCGCGATAGTTGCCCCCTCCTTTCTCTCCCACCCACTCCCCTCCTCCATTCGTCCTCCACGTTTTCCCTCTCCAAAGAGATCGTGCCATCGTTACGTTTAATAGATCTGCCGGCCCTGTCTTCGCAGATTCAATTTCGTATCGGCAAACGTGACAGGAAGGAAGAGATCACCACCGTCGTTCGGCCAAACGAATTATTCTCGGGGGGGGAGAGAGAGAGAGAGAGAGAGAGATGAAAAGATTCGATTCTCCGATCTGATTTGATCTCCATCGGTTCCGATCGACTTCCAAGAAGTGTCATTTCTTAAGATTATAAGGGATTAAATATTTTCAAGTAAATTTCAAGTGGAATTTCGACATCGATTTGTTGATGGAACAGGTGATGCTCTCAGTTTGAAGATCGTTGGGAAGATACGTATCAGGAGAATATAAATAGAGGAGATTCTCGTAGATATTTCTCAAGTGACACAATCGACGGTATTCTCTGATGGATTAGTTAGAAAGATATATTATATATATCGAAACGAATTCAAAGATGGAAGAGGTGGATATACAACAGGAATCGAGAGATCAAGTAGGGAACTTGATCTTTTCTCCGCCACCGATGAAAAAATCTGATACGAGGGACAGTATTTCCTCTGTGGACAGTGACGTGAGCCTTTCCTTCGATCGAAGAGGCTCGAAGGGAGAAGAGGCTGACCTATCGGACAGTGGAAGTTCGGACAATGAGAAGAAAATGAAGGATGCATCGTTGTTACAACGAAAGAATAGTGATCCAGATTCTGGAGCAGATTCGTTGGAAGAGACGAGCGTCAAAGACTCGAAGCGGGAAGAGATATCGGAAGTAAGTATAGGTACACAGGCGGACGATTTCGTCCCTCCGTCCGATGAATTGGCCGAGAAGATTTGCGCCCAGGTAGAGTTCTATTTCTCCGACGAGAATATCGTGAAAGACGCATTCCTGCTGAAACACGTGAAAAGGAACAAAGAGGGATACGTGTCACTGAAGCTTATATCGAGTTTTAAAAGGGTGAAACACTTAAGCAGAGACTGGAGAGTCGTAGGGGCTGCTCTTGCGAAATCGAGGAAGCTTCAAGTGAATCCACAGGGTAGCAAGTTACGTAGAGTCGATCCTTTGCCGCCTTTCGATCAAACTACACCGTCGAGAACGATTCTAGCCGCGAGACTTCCAGTAGAGAAATTGTCGGTTGAATCTGTCGCTGAAATCTTCAGGCCGTGCGGAGAGATCGCTCTCATCAGAGTACTTCGACCTGGCCATCCTGCACCAGCCGAGGTAGCGCCTCTTTATCTTTATCTCCTTTACGAATCTGCGAAATTTTTTTTACGTTTTGAAACGAGAGGCATTGATGAAAATAAAAACTCGCGTAAATTTAATTTACCTTTATATCGGGAATACAGGTAATAATTTGTAATTATCACAGGTGCGTCAAGCAATCGCCAAGAGGCCAGAATTGGCATCGAGCGAGGAGTGCGCCATGGTCGAGTTCACGGATTCAGCGTCCGCTCGTACCGCTTTACAAATGACCTTGGGCGATGCCAAGGTGTTCGAATTGCAACAATCCAGCGACAAGAAGAGGAAACAGCAACCGGCGAAGAAAAGTGCCCTGACGAGGTTGACCAAAGAGGAAGTTTACAACTCCTCGAGTTGCGCCAGCGGATCCGAGCCAGAAGATGGAAGAGTCAGACACAAGAAGCCCATTCATGGTTATCCAATGTATCACGCTTATCCTCCCCATCCGTTCCAAGGTATTCTACGAGATGATTTCTATTATTATTATTATTATTATTATTATTATTATTCGTTTCTTTAGACATACATAAAATTTTTAAAAAGACATTTGCAATTTTCGAATTAGAGCACGAAATAGTGTTTCGTATCAAATTCTTACGATATAATACAAGAATGTGTATATATATAAATATATATAAAATACAAAATATCAAAATCTATTTTGTTTCACATCGATTATCGTTATTACAGGACCTCCGTCGCCAGATGCATGGTTATCTCGTCGACTGTCCGCTTGTTCGATCTCGGGCTCAGAGAATGGTTTTATACTTCGTCGTTTGTCATCCTGTTCTGGTTCTGGTTCAGAGGCCGGAAGTTTCGGCAGACGTTACTCTGCTTGCTCTTCCGGCTCTGAGACCGGTTACTGTCATCCAGTTTTCCCGCCAAATTATTATTATCAAGAGAATCGGCGTTTTTCTTGCTGCTCGAGTTCCGGTTCCGAATGCAGTAGTGCTTGTTATCATTCTAGTCGCCGTGGTTCTGCGGATTACAGTCCATTTTTGAGAAGATTGTCTGCTTGCAGCCGAGATTCTACCTTTGATTCAAGTTCCAGAAGGTTGTCACTGTGCTCGTCTGGTTCTGAGCAGGGAGGTTATTGTCGACCGAGGAGCAACAGTGGTATAGCGTTGACACATTTACCAGAAAACGTGACGAGAATGCCATCTGGACCTGATGGAACGCGTGGATTTGGCCGACCTGTGAAAATGAATATTATGTCACCAACCATGGAACCCACTTGTTAGAAATGTCAATTACTTTTAAGAGTTTTCATCGTGAATAGACTGGTTCATACGTTCATCGATTTCTCGTTCTGTTTGTTGAATGGCCGATTATCTGTTGTTTCAAATAGATTAAAAAAGAAGAAACAAAAGGAAAAAAAAAAAAAAAAAAA